AAAAAAAAAAAATGAAAATATACGAAAATATGGTGGATTAGACAAGTTTTTTTTCTATCCTCCGTAATAATAAGAGTTCAATTGTTTTTGGAATGAAAGTTTAAAAGTATTCCATTTTAAAGAGTTCGTGTTTCTAATTGCTTCGAATGTGTTTTCTTGTCAATAAACATTGCAAGGAATAAAGATATCGAATTTAAATTCAATTACCAACATTTTCCTGACCTAGAATAAATAATCTCTTTGGTAAAAATTCATTTAACCATATGTGTAATAATAATATAGTGTGTGGCTGTAGCAAAAACTAAGGCACGCATATTTGACACATCGAAACATAAGAAAATGCTTCGTACGTGAACTACAGATTTTCAATGGTCGATTTGAATAGAATTTTACGCGTAAATGGACTTCGAAGAGTTTTTTTTTCTATTCAATTAAATGTTCTTTCGACATTTTGTGATGCAATCAAATTCCAGATGCGATTTTTTCTACATACACCTATTGGTATGAATTGATTGAAACACTTTGTGTACAACAAATATCATGTTGTGTTTCGATCTCAAACATTTTTGACTCTTCTTCTTCGCTTTGTTTCTCTTCTCGTTTCTGCACGTATTCAAATAGAAATATTCACATTCACATTGTTTCCTACTGACCAATGTTGGCCCCATCGTTTTGTAATTCTTCTTCATCTTTTCCGTACATTTACTCTTCATTAGACATTTACGATGGCAACACGAATTAGAAGCATAAAGCTCCGACTGTGGCAAACAAAGAACAATGAAAAAGTCGAAGAACGGAACACAGCAAACGAAATAAACAAGTAAATTGTGTACTTTTTCAGTTACTGAGAAGAGAAAAAAATAATTACACAATCATTGCTATGATGATTTTTCTCTATACGTTCGGATGCGTGAACTAGTCGAAATAAGTTTCGAGAATATTCTACAGATACGATTCAAAGCGATGTTTCCTATTTCATTGATGGCCATTGGCTTACTTCGGATTTTCGACAATTTGCAAAATTAAAATCTAATATCGAGACGTCTTAATGGGTGAACGCTTAAAACGTTTGAGTCGAAACAAAAAAAAAACGCTTCCCGAACACACACATACCAACACATATAAATTACCGATTTTCAACGTTGAACAACGAAAAAACAAACGGTATTATTCAGAGTATAAGCCAAATGGTTTAAATCGAATGCACCACACGTTAAAATCTAAAATATTCAAAATGATTCATCGAGAAGGAATGCATTATAAATGGACCATATACATGCCGGACACTAGCATAATTTTAGTAGCCGATACATAAATCAACGTGCATTCAAATTGGTACGCTTCACTTTAGCGGTGTTCGGCGGTATCGGTTTGCTTGTATTACTCTACTTTATCTAAATGTGTCTCCGACTCGGTGTCAGCATCGTTTCAAGGGACACACCGAACAAATTCAAAATGCAAAATTAATTTTAGATTTTTTTATTTAATACTCTTACCACGTGAACTCTTAAGCATAATTTGCGTTGTATTTGTTTCAGTTTCAAATTATGCGGTCATATAACGGGCAAAGAGATTTATCTCAACAAGCTCACAAATACTATAACGGCGGTACACACGTATTTAATGATGTTGGTCATTGTTTTTTTTTTCTACACGAATAAAATCCATTTGTTGTTAAATGCACTGCTTTCAACAACATGTATTTATTGGCATTTCAACGACAAAAAATAAAATAAAATAAATAATCTTAGGTCTTTTAATTACATCAAATCGTATCATAGACAATTTATAACATCATTTCTATGCGGATTGTGTTGAGTTCGTTACAGTTTGTCTCAATTTAATTATTGCTCACGCTGATCAAATGTGTTAAAAAGAGGATAACAACAACAGCAACAAGAAATCCCATTGAAATAATAAAAATTTGAGAAATTCCAATAAAAAACGATAATTGAAAATGACATTTGCACGTGGCCACTTTTTCATGTTCAATTGAATTGTTCATGAACACTTGAGAAAACCGTTGCCGCTTTGACGTAATTGCGAGATGAAAAAAAATTAAATAGCGTCGATAATCAGCGGATTGAAATGCGGACAATTTATGTTTTTACAGATGAACTTTTTCCACCGGAACTTTATATCACGGTTGTATTTTGACGTCGATTTAGTTGATTTGTGGTATGTATTAGATTAATTGTGAAGGACTAGAAAAAGCGATACATTGATTCATTGCAATTAATAACAAATTTGTTTTCATATTTTAATATCCACCAGTGACCGGTTCGCGCATATTTCTATGCCTGATAGCTATGCTAAGCATAGCGGAGACGCAAGCCGTAACGCACCCGTCGCCATTCGATTCGAGCTATATTGTATGCGCACGGTCGTCTGCATAAACGAACATGTGCATTGTTCATATAGAGTGAACGGCGATGCGTCGGTTGCGTTTGCGGCTATGCTTGGCATATCTATGCTACCTAGCGTATTTAGGCAAACATAGAAATATGCGCGAACCGGTCACTGATATCCACAAATAATTGGCGCCAAAGAAACGGAAAAGAAGCGCCACATCCGACAACATTCAATAGCCATCATTCGTGGCCGTACAATTGATTTATAAAACGATGACAAATTAAGCCGCTGAAGTTAGCCACATAACGAATAGCCAGTTAATTCATGATTTTAAAAGTCACAAATACTGTTTGCTGAAACTATTTTGATAAGCTGTCAATTATTTTTCGTATCTGATTTGGTTTAGTATGTGTGTGTTTGTGTAAAAAAAATTATAAAAATTTGCGCGAAATTATTAACATTCATTTTTGTTATTGTCTTTATCAGGCTTCAATCGAAATGTTTAGCAAGATGCATGATGAAGATGCAACACAGAACGTTCGCTGGATACGTGTCGTATCCACAGAGCCACATCAGTACATGATTTGCACTAAACTATATGACTACTTGTGCAGAGTGTGTGTTTTTTTTTTCATGCATATAAAACACTTTAATCGTTGTGTTTATCGCTTCAAACTTAAATATATCACTTGTTTTGGCTCTTTCAATGTACACATTTTGCAATTTTATTAGGACAAATGTCATGAAATACGAGTGTAATACGTACATTCTTTTTTCTAACATAATTCAAATGTGTTATTTTGTTATTTGGACCAATATTGACACATATGTACATTATTTCACTGTTTTGTTCTTCAATAATTTCAATGGACAAAATATTTAGGACTATTTTTTATTCTCAAATACAGATAAAATTTACTTAGCTGTTAGCAATTATTGATAATTTTAAGCACAAATGATAAAATATATATTTTTCCGCAAAAGAAAATAAAATAATCGAATGATTTTTTTTTAATCGACAAATTAAAATCATCTCTTCATTTTCTATGATTATGAAGGAAATATAATAATATTACTACATCTACGCTGCCTATCGAATTTTTGACAAATTAAAAAGGGGCACTTTTTTATTCGGTCCTTTGTTTCATATTCTAAACATCAACTAAATTTTCTAATTGTAGTAAACATATGACATAATTTTTGTACAGATTTCAGTTTTATAGCTCGCCTGATAATGGAAACATTGTTTCCGAAAACGTTAGCATTTTATAATTAAAATCACGTTAAATTTGTATCAGAATAAGAAGTTTTCTCAAGTTTTCCTTGAGTTTTCTTCACTTATTTTTTCATTTCATAATACGAAGAGAAAAAATAAAATAAAATAAAAACTTGTGAAACTATTTAGTCCTAAAAGTACAGGTGTTTTTGTTATATCGTCATTCTGCTTTCAAACGTGCGTAATTGATCGACTAGCGTTGTTATTTTTGTTTGTTATTATAAAATTTCCATCTTGTCGTAGCAAGGTTACACGTGTATGTATATAATGCCACGCAACATTTTTATCGTTAATATTCGAATGAAATTTGGGGTATAAATATCAATCCTGTTTTCAATTGTAAGTTCAGTAAGTTTTTAAACTCTATCGCTTTGTGAATACATTTCAAATATGAATTTTGTTGTCTTCGTGTTTTTTGCGTTTGTCGCAAAAGAAGTAATTTATTTAACAGTTTTTTTTTTGCAGAATTAGTCTCATTTTATTTATTCTCCTCAGATTATGGCCGATCCACAACTGAAGACCTCAATAATATTACAGCAAGGAATATTAGCAGAATCGGAAAACTTTGTCACATCGGTGCCACAACAACAACAGCTTCTTGGCAACACAGATGTGGAAGTTTACGGTGCAAGTTTGGGACACAGAAATAGCGACATGAGATCACTTTTGGGTGATGTCTCATCTGGAATTCAAACGTTAAAGTATATTATTCGTGCCTCCACGAATACCGTATTGCAGAAGATCTCAACGAATAACATTATTATGAACTACAAAGACGATTTGAGACCTGAGATACTGTATAACGTTCCCGATAAAAATTTGACAAACATATTCAATGCACTTGTGGAAATGAATAATGCAACGGACAATTTTAAAAATGATGTATTGCAATGCGAACGAGAATTGGTTGTGCTAATGTTTCCGAGAACGTTTCAAAATTTAGTAGAACAAATTCGCCAGTTAATACCATATGCTCCAGAAAGTCGACAAGCTTTTATAAACAAGATTTCAGAAGTTAAAACATATATTATAAATCCAATATTGGAAGCGGTAGTCACTTCTTATCACGGTAAACATCTTCAAGAATGCATCTTTATCGCTTATGATAAATGCTTGAGAGCCCGACAAAAGGGACATACTGTCATTTTTACTGCGACAGGTTCAATCCCCAGACACTAATTTTAATAGTATTTGGTCAGGTTTTAATTAGTCTTTGGTACTATTTTTCCTGTAAACAACCGAAATTCAACCAATTCAAATAAATTTTGAGAAAAAACAAACTTATTTCGTTTTTATTTTATGCCAAATAGGTCTTTACCGACCATTTTTGTAACCCAACGATTCATTGAATTGAAAATTTCATCTCACCTATGTGAATTATTTGTGAAAAAATCAAAATTTTCGAAAATATTATGGTTGTGCAGACGAAAATATCATACTTATTATTGTGAATTTCTATGTGAAACGAAAAAATTAATCTTATTGGTTTTTGGTCGGCATGGTGAAAAAAAAAATCGGACAATATTCGTAATTAAGAACATTTCTCTGACTTTATAGATTTATAGACTTCATGCATCCACTTAATCCCAAAATATCAATTTGAGGCTCGAAATGACTAGTGAGTCGCAGTTGGTGAGCTTGTTGGCTGATGTACACTGTTTGGACGTTACTATTGTGTTTTTAAAAGTTTGTATCGATTATGAATGAAGTTATTTGTTCTAAACGGGTTTATCGACAAGCGTTAAAACTTACACTCTACACAATATATGTGCAATTGTACATGTTGTCGTGAACGAAATAGTTATTTTTCTATGAGAGAATGTTCCAGTTTTTAATAGAAATTTAAGTGCGGCATTGAAACTGTTTCCATTTTTTTATTTCATCACCGTAGCACGGCAATAGCTTAAATGCGAACCAATGAATAGAAAAGCGAATGTGAATGAGAATGACAAAAAAAAATCAGGGAGAGAAACTTCATAGAAATTACACATAAAATAAGAAACACGTAAAATAATCTATAAATAATGGGTATTCAGATATTGATGTTTAATCGTGATGTTCGCGTTGAGCATGAATTGTGTGAATTTTACTTTTGATTTATCTCGATTCGCAATTCAGTTTGGAAAAATAGATGTATCAAAGTGACTTTTATGCATAGACTATTGAATGATGTTTTGTGCCAAAATGCGTGCTTAGACAATCTTACTTTTTTACCATTCGAAAAATATATCGCCCCTGTCACGAATCGTTGAATTCTTTTGAAATGTGTTTTTTAAAGAAAATTTGAATAACACACTATTTATTGGCAATTAAGAGCAGATCATTCACTTTTTGCTATATTATTTCGAAAAAAAAAAAA